CACATGAGTTTCGTTCAGGCTAACCTGAACTGGCATCCGTCCGGCCACCTCGAGTAGAGTTAGAAATGAAGTTTAAGGCTAGAGAATCGCCTGTTCAATCTTATTTTTATAAAGATTTAAGTTTAAAAAATTAATATTTTTTAAAAAAATTAGACTTAAAAATTCAGTCTTGATAAACTTGAAAAAATAGGTTTTGACGACTCTTTTAAATCTTTTTTTTAAATTAAATTTAAACTTTAAAATATGTATTTATAATTTATAATTAGAATTTTTATTATTTATTTTTAATTTTTAAAAATTATAATTTATTTTTTAAAAAATATGAAATATTATAATTAAAAATTTTAATTTTTAAAAATTTTAAAAAATAAAAAAATAATAATAAGGGCAAATCGATCTAACCTTGAGCTCTTTATATAAGAATTAAATTTTAAAAATAAAACATTTTAAAAAAATTAAATTTAAGAGTTAAGCTCATATGAATTGAGACCGTTTGTTTTTCAACTCTAACCTTAAGGGGGTGAGATATCTTCCATTAAAAAATTGCACAGCTATATATCTTGAGTCTCAAACACGAGACCTCAATTGCTTCTCTCTTTCTCTCAGCACCTCCTGTCCTCTTTTCAGGTAAGAAATAATTAAAACTAAAAAATAAAATCCCATTTAACTTTTCTCAACTTCTCGCTTTTTTATTTTATTTTTTTAATATAAAGAAAAGATAATATTTGTTACTTCCTTCTTCTCAATAACACACAATTACGCACTATTGGTTGCTATTTTACTACTCATATTTAAAAAAATAATTAGCTAAAATCTTAATTTTTTTCAAAAAAATGTTTTTAAGGCTAAAGTATATATTTAATTATTTGACTTTACACAACATTTTATTTCAATTTTTTAAATTTATAAAGTATTTTTTAATCATTTAATCTTAATATTGTTAATTTTATCCTAACAAATTTATACATTGAACTTTAAATATTGACATAATATTCTTGAGTATTAACATATTAAGCTTAATTCTTTTAAAATAATAATAATTGATAAAAAAATAATTATTTAAAACTAACGATATTAGGGTTAAAAGATTAAAAAAATACTTTATAAAATTAAAGGATCAAATTAAAACTTTATATAAAGTTATAGGATTAAAAGTATACTTTAACCTATTTTTAATTATGCTCATATCAAATATTTTATATAAATAAATTAATAATGATAATTGAAATTTTAATGTGCAGTTTTTTTTCGTAAGAACTATAAATAAAATAGAAATGTAATTAAAAAATTATAATAACTATTCAAAATCTATATCAAACTAGAAGTTAATACAACTAATTTTGATGGAAGTAAATTTTTTAAAGAAGTGAGATCTATTATATAAACTTACGTTGCTATTTTACTACTCATATTTAAAAATAATAATTAGCTAAAATTTTAATTTTTTTAAAAAATGTTTTTAAGACTAAAATATATATTTAACCATTTGACTTTACACAACGTTTTATTTTAATTTTTTAACTTTATAAAATATTTTTTTAATCCTTTAATCTTAATATTGTTAGTTTTATCCTAACAAATTTATACATTGAACTTTAAAAATTGACATAACATTCTTAAGTATTAACATATTAAGTTTAATTATTTTAAAATAATAATAATTGACATAAAAAATAATCATTTAAAATTAATGATGTTAGGGTTAAAAGACTGAAAAGAAGTAAGATCTATTATATAAAATAATTTAATTCTTTAGCATCATTTTCATTTTTTCAATGACAATTTTATGCTATCAAATGCGACATCAGACGTAATAAAAAAATGCGGCATCAGATTTGATTATTTAGGGTTCAGGCTTTTTCACTGCTCTTAATGCTCCATGTTTGCGTCGCTTCGTTTCACTGCTCATATATGCTTCTTGGTCGTTTTGTTTGTTTCTTTTCTTTTTTCTTTGTTTTATTTTGAAGTCCGGGGCCCACGCTTGAGAACAAGTTTCATGCCTATACCCGGTTTGACCCATGCGGTCCAACTTAATCCAATCTCGGATCAAGTTACTTCGAGTCGGATAAGACGAAGTTTAACTTTGTTTACCTTCCATTTTAGAAAGCCATCATACTTCGAGATCAAATAAAACAACAGCATCTAAATTAAAAATTCCAATTAAAGATTTTGGTTATATTTGTTAAAAAAATCAATTGACAAAATGCCCTTGTTTACATATCAGCAAGAGCTGTTTTTGATTAGTTTTTTTTTTTTCATATTTTTTCTTCTGCTAAGTTGAAAAAACAACGTATATATCTCAGAAATGTGAGAAGAATGAGATAAAAAATTGTTTAATTAAAAATAAATTCAATTGATGCTTCAGGATTTTGAACTTAGTTTTAAAAATTTTCAAATTGTATGTGAATTTATCAATTGTTTCCTTTTTTTGAAAAAAAAAAAATTCAACGTCCAGTATCTAAGGAAATCAAGGGTATCACTACCGTTAGACTAATATAAACCTCCAATGTAGTGGAAATGTTATTACCAATTATTAATAACGCCTCATGGGTATTTCTTATTTAATGTAATTGCATATTTTAGGATAAGTTATTAAATATTCTCGATCTGTTAAATCAAGCACGTATGATCCTCATGGTTTTTTTTTATTTAATGTAATTGCATATTTTAGGATAAGTTATTAAATATTTTTGATCAGTTAAATCAAGTAATTATGATCAATTGCTTCTTTTAAATTTTTATTTATTCTTCTAATTTGATTTTAAAAGTATATTTTTTTCTGAAATAATTGTTAGCATCTGTTTCAGTGAAAACGAATATTCTTAGTGAGATGCTCTGATAAGCATTAAATTACAGCTATTGGTGGCCTAAGATGTGACATTTAGAAGTTATATAGCCTCGTGAAAAAGTTGGGAGGGTACGGAAGAATAAAACATTAAAGGGCGCTAATAACGTGTTGATGTTAGTATTATGTTTGAAGATTGCATAGTGCAAGTTGCTTCAACACACAGCCACCCAAACGTGGCACTATGTTTTTCCACATCGGATGCTTGGGGAGTGCGTCCTCACTGGATCTCAACACTTTCGTCCCGCAAATATTCTAAGCTAATCATGCCAATTATTGATAGTAATTCAAAACTTAGTCATTTAATCAGGATTTGACTGGTCATGATTAATATAATTTAATTAAAATATAAAATATTTATGTTTGACTGTGGAAATAATAATATTTAAATAAAAATAATTAATCCTTGAATAAATGAAACATTTATCCATAACTCAGCTGTGACTTGACGTCTTATCACTAAGACAATATTATCATTCAAAGATGGGTGTTTAGGAATATCCATATCTTTATTACTTACATATGACAAGAATTAATATCAATGGTTATGTTAAAAAAAATAATTATGTGGTTACATAATATTAGTATCTTAATAGGAGATATAAGCCTTTATTATTCCACTCAAAACTTGGTGGAGCTACAGTGTCTTCACTTTCAAAATGACACTTTCAAGATTTGATACATTTGCAACATCAAACTTAGTAGTTGGCTCTCATCAAGTCACCAAAAATCCACTTTATCAATGAATTCATATTCAATAGAATCATAATTTGTCTTCTCCAATTGACTGCCTTAATATGAAAAAAAAAAAACAAAGTAACTAAATAAAAATTGCAAGCAGACTAACTATAATCAAATATATATATATATTCAATAAAAGTATTCAAAACTTCCAATCTTACATGTTCTTCGATCCCGCATTATTATAATTTGTAAAAATGAAATAATTTAATATGTGATATTCTAATATATTTGTTTTTTTAAAATGAATGTATTCAAACAAATTCGTATTTATCTTATATCTAATGGGTAGTTCTATCCATTACCAGTCAATCCACATATGATTCAATGAACATGACACGTATTGACATCAAATAGTCCAACCCAACGTAATAGGGATCACATAAACTAGGTTTTAATAAACTTCAATTAAATCAAGGTTTTAGTATTATATCTATCTCAAATTATAAAACATTTTAAAATAAAATCACACATACCAATAAAAATCATTAAATAAACTTTACAACATTATTTTTTCAAAATAAAAATATAAACTTTTAAAAATATCTTTTATTTAATACTCCATTTATAAAATAATATTAAAAAAATAATATATACGAAGGATAGTATTAAAAAAATATTATTAATAAAATTTTATTTTTATCAAAGTATTTTATATTTTATAACACCAAACTTCTCTCAAAAGTATTTTATAATTTTAAATAGAAAGAGTTTAAAAAATATATAATTTTTGAAAGTTGATATAAAAATTATCATGTCACTCTCATACTGAATGGATGAATATATGATTGCACGAATCCAATTGGGATGTTGAAATGGATGGAAACGTAGTTGATTGATCATAAGTTTATTATCCAATTGCGCACATCACTTTCGCTCATCTCATTCTCAATTCAATATCACTCCAAGCGACACTGTTGGATACAACTGCATATTCGTTGGAGCCTATTCCAAAGCTTACTAGTGGCAGTGGTCTTGAAGGACGTGACCTCAATAAATTATTGTACAAATTGCAATCATTCATCTTCAGTCAAATTTTTTATTAAAAGTAAAATATAATATGCAATCGCTATGTTTGACTTGATGAGACCCTCTCCCATGCCGAGGAGTTTCTGACAGAAGAGAGAAACACACATGGGTGAATCTTTTCAAGTCCCACCTCTCATTTCTTTCTTTTCTTTTCACAATTTTTCAAATGGTATCCTAAGTGATGGCCCACGAATCCTTAACATGCAGCTTCACCTTCACCAAGAGCCTACGCAAGTGGACTATAGGAAGGGTCATGTAGCTTAACAAACCAACCCAATTTTCCACTAAAACCTGTTTGTTGTTGTTCAGTTTTTTAAAAACTAAATAACAAACATGCATTTGTCTTCCCTTAACTGCTTGACTTATTAAAGAAACAATCAAAAAATTTGTTCACTTCTAACGCCATTGGTTGTCCAATGGAGCAGCTAATTCAATCTCAACTCCAGTCAAAACTGACCCCAGGGAGGAACCAACAGATCCGACATAGGCATTTGTTTCCGTCATATATAGAAATGAATATAATAATAATTAAAAAAAAAAGTGTATCTTAGTGGCTACTGACTAGATACCTGCCTAATATCCTAAAACCACTAGAAGGATCATTGCATTATAACTACAAACTACTACAACTGTGCAGTTAATCAAAGGAAACATCAGATGCTCTTGATGCTGCTTGTGCACCGCATGAAGATCATGCAAACCAGCCTGCGCCTGTGTTTCTAACAACTTACCAAATCAACGAGCCACACAAGACAACCTTGTCATGAGTTTGTCAATAACAATATCCCATGTTCTCAGGAAACAGTATTATGCCTTTGTCCACCAGAGCGCCAACCTCTCCCTCTCCCTCTCCCTTGATGATAACCTTCGCTGCCACGATTTCCAGGGCCCCAACCTCCTCCGGAGAACTCTCCTGGGTTTCCATAATCAATTCGACCAAGCCCTCGACCACTGCCAAAGCCACGGCCCCTGAAGTCATTTCGAAACCCACTTCTTACAGCTGGGAACCTACCTCTTCCAGGATTACCAGTGCCGACTGCAAAACAATGGATGAAGGAAACTTTATTTACCAATTTGCCATGTACTTTCTCTTCCTTTTCTTTCTGAATGAATGAATGAATGATATTATTCGTTAGCAATGAATTACCTCGATTAGTAGTTCTCTTCATCTCAATTTCAGCCTGACGACCCCCAAATGTAATAGGTGAAGCCTGGAAGACACACGAGGGAAGTTATAAAATCTGAGGGTATAAAACTAAAGACATAGTGGAAGGTTTACCAAAAACTACATAACTTCAGACAAGTGCCAGATTAGTTTTCATGATATAGCAATTCAAAATGACAATACACAAAGCTGATTGTTTACCATGCTAGAAATGTTCAAGCCTTCAAGGGCATGACTATGTACTCAAGTTAACCAATACACTTGTCAACAAGGAAGCCAATATATTTTTCTTTTCTTCAATAAAATGACCAAATTCATTAAAGTAATATAAATCAGAAATCACTTTGAACCTTGCAAAACCCATTGATTGAGTATTCATGCATCATCAATGCTATCCAGTGAAGCAACGCACCAACGAAAAACTTGAAATAAAAAAATTCCATTGGATTTTTGGGTTGCTAGTCTATAGAAAAAAGGCATGTTTGCAGGGATAGTTGACTTTAAAGTGAATACCAGGATTATCAGGCTTAAGGTGACAATAAAGAATGCATGTGAAATTACAAATAAGACACGTCCTAAAACCTCAAACTTGAGAAATGCATATAGCTTTTAAAAGACCCAAAAGGTTCCTATCCATGAGGGAGAGGTACACCAGTATATAGCCTTTGCATTAGGACAAATAAATGCCAATATTCAAGGAATCTAAACTATTCATCAATAAGGGCCCTACCTGAATTGCACTATTCATGGAACTCGGAGACTGGAATTCAACAAATCCAAAACAGTATCCCTGCTGCTGCATATAACATAAAAGAAAACGGTGTTTCCAATAAATCATTAGGCCTGTAGATGTGGAACATGGTAATGGAAAATTTTGAAAACACGCTTCACGTGCTAAATAAACTACCTTATTATTTCTGACTTGGATACCTCCTTGCTTGATGGGTCCAAATTTCTTGAATTCCACCTCCAACTGAGAAGCCGTCACATTTAAGGGCAAATTTCGGATGTAAATGGAATACCCTTCAACTGTGGGGTTTACATGCATGTCAGAAACATTTACAAGTTTAAGCAACCTACTGTAGCTTCAAGCAATAGCTTCAAGCAAGTAGCCAGAATTGCAAGTTAGGAATGATAACAGGTAGTTTTATGTTTTATGAGTTCAGATTCAAATAATGCAAGCTTTATAAACATAAGTCAAAGCATAAGTTATATGAAACGCAGACAAATATGTACCTTCGTCCTGATTATTACTACTTTCAGTGACACTGTTAGGTTCTTTCTCAGGTTCAGATGCAGCAGCAGATTCAGCTAGCTCAACTGACTGGTTCTCAGTTTTTCTAGGCACCACTTTTACAGCATTAGTAGGTACATAGACTTTACTTGATTCTGAGCTTCCTTTAAGGACTTTCACCTAAAAGAAATCCAATAAACTTAGATTTAAAATTATACATTGCTTGAAGGACAAAATCTATGTTTGAGCACTTACGATAGATGCATAAGACTTCTTTGGAGTGTCCTCTTGAGCTGAAGAAGCCAATTCTGTGGCCTGAGAAACATCAACGCCGTTTGACTTAGACTGGGGCTCTTCAACACCCTCGATTTCAACAAATGATTGTCTTTCATGATTAGATGGCCCATAAGCATTCTCAGCACCATTTTGATCCTTGTTCGCATTAGAATTTGCAGGGTCTGGTGCAGATGGATCAGAAACATGACTGTTGTCTGTATAAAAACATGAACAGCATGGATACAGTTTCCAAATAATGATATAACTAAAGAAACGCAAAAAGTTCTTTTTAATTGATCTTGCCTGGGTCAGAAGTTATAAGAACATCAGTGGCATCATCAACCGCATTGATCAAATGCTGTTCTGATGGTTCGCATTCTTCTAGATACCTAAAAACATCATTCAGAACAAAATATCCATTGTCTTGTGGAGCAAGAAAGAATGATTGTGCAAATTGTCTTCTCAGGTTATCCTTGCCAGTCAAACAACCAGTCACCAACACAGTCACTCCATCCTTGTAAGACTTTTGAGCATCAGCAGTCTTTATCTCAGCTTTAAGGTCTTTATAGTTTAATGAAAGGATCTTCTCGTTGATACCCTGCAGCAGAAAAAGACAGTGATGCCCCGTGAAACAAGGGATTGCCTGGTGCGCGCGTGTGTAAATTTGCAGAAGGTCAATAAAATCTAATTGGATAAAAGCCCTATCCTGCCAAACTTAAGAAAAAGCCTTGCAAATAAAACTAATCCACATCAGCGGCATACAGGATAGAAGATCAGGCAAATTCCACCAGGGCATTAATATCTAATGGACAGTCCAGCATATAGCACTTTCTTTTTCTTTTTTGGCTTTGGCCTGAGCATGTAGCATTTTCTAGTTTTCAAAACTATTAATAAAATTATACTTATAATGAAACATGTTAATTATCATATGATGACATTACAGTGTTTGTTTTCCTTATGAAACAGTAGAAGGGAAAAAACTACTGAAGACAGAGATATACAGGCACCATTTTCAGACAATCTTACTTTCATTGTTGTCACTGATGCCATCACCCCATTAGAATCAGGTCGACTTAGTACACTAGATTCTTGATAGAACCGATAGACTAATTCTGGTGAATGGTGAAGAATATGGTAGTACTGCTCAACAAATGCATTTCCAACCACTTCAGCACTGGGAGTAGTTGGACGTGGAGTTGCTTCCATGGCCATCCTGCTAAAAAAGCAATCAATAGAAAATCTCAATCTTGACAACACTTGAAAACGCATAAAAAAGTGTATCAACTAGATATGCCAACTCATTTAATAAAAACAGGAAACATTGACTTATTCTATTGAAAAAAGAAAAACAATTCAATATACATCCAAACAGGATCTACATAAAATATCATTTACCAATATATATGGCAACAATGAACCTTAATGTTTTTCCCCCATTGAAACATAAAGACAACAACCGAATCACTCATGAAAATATTCATCCATGAGCATTGGAACCAGAAGTATAGATAGTTGGAAAAGCAGGGGTAAGAATTTAATTATGAAGCCCAGCTTACCATGCAAAAGCTAGCTACAATAAAGCTGGGGCGACTTTCAATGTTATAAGCAAGTCTGAGTACAGCATTTTAATTTCACCTAATTGACAGTGTATCAAGCGACATGGATAAAGTAGTCGCTTGATCCTTAAATGGACTTGGATTCAGTGAATGGCCTAAATTCATCTTGATAAATTTTAAAGCATTGATAAAATTCAACAGTCATAAAGATGTAATTAAGACACATGAGTGAGTGGACATAGGCCACTAGCCGAATCTACATCATGACCTCTTGAGCAGCCTCAAAGCAAGAAGTTTGTGTTGATTGACCTTGGAATGATGACATTCTCATTCACACATCTAAAACGTAGTGGTAGAACAGGAAACAGAGAGACATAAACAGAAAATTAAGAAACGATGAGAAAGTTATGAAATGAACTTGAAAAGACCATAATACGGACGGACAAATGATAACATTGGAGAATACATAAGTATAAAAATCGCATTCTCAAAACAAAGCAGAACGAATTCAATATATCATATAATATAATCACATTTCTTTAAAACTTCACGCGTGTTTAAAGTGAATATTGCAATTCAAAATTAAAAAATCATCAAGCTGATATCTTTAAGGGCGTACAGCATTCAGATAAAGCCCATCACTGGGGAACAAAAGTAGCATCAGTACAATACCCAGATCCAAAGAGAAAAACAACTAAAATCTAAACCCTAAACCGACATCGTAGTGTAAAAGAATAAAGAAAAACACCCACCATGATTTTCAGAAAGCGACGCAAGCACTACATACGGAAAAAGTTCCATGCTTGAGGGAAAATACCAGAGCTATAAAATAAATATAGTTTATTCACAATATATTGACATTCAGCTCCCTCGAGGAACTTTAACAGTGTATGATCACAAAAAACGTAAGACCTATTTCGAATCAGCACAAAAATGGAATCTTAACGTAAGATAGACATTATCTGTAAACCAAAAATCAAGCAATTGGTTGGGAGGGGGGAACGAAATCGCTCACAGATGACACCAAATCTCACTCATCACGAGAATCCAAGAAGAAAATGTCGGTTACCGGTGATTCACGAGAATGTTTGTGGCAGCTTGTGAAGAAGCGATTGGCAAGATACCCGATGAGACAGTGCGTTTGAAGAGCGGAGTGAAGAAGAAAAGATCAGTTAGCGCACGAAAAAAAAGGGAGCGTGTGAAGGCTACCCCTGGAACTGTGAACTAATTTCCCTCGTTTCCCTTGGCAATTCTGTCAGGTGATCTCTTGTACGGTTCGTGAGGTTCGCCTCTTGCGCTGCTGCCGTCGGTTTCGTTCATTATATCACAGCCGACCCACAGCTGACACGTGTCCCAACTCATGGGAAATTCAGACCGAGCCAATGATTCGGAACTGGAGAATTCTGCAATAAATAGCGGGATATTTATTGTATGGTATTTTTTTTGGTAATAAATACTATTATATGGACATTATCTAAGGCAACAACTCGATGTATCCATGATATGATATATGTATATGTATATTCATACTCCCTCTAATTTGATATATAAAAAAATTATATTATATAATTTTAAAAATTAATTAATTATAATAATTATGTTTAAAAATAAAAAATAGATTAAAATATCTTGTGTTGATTAACATAATTATACATTAATTGTTTCGTGCTAATATAAATTATAAAAAAATAATGTAAAAATATGTAATAAATATTTATTAGAATGAATGATTTTACTTATAAAAAAAGCAATAATTTCTCTAACAATAAAAAATAAAGCGAATATATATACGGACCAACCTTTTGTTTCAATTTCATTGCGTTGCATTGATTGCAAAAAGGTTATTGTTTATGGAAATAATTTCTCGGTGCAGGACTTTTAATTTTAATTTCAAAGAAATTGTTTGGGATTTTATTTTTTTATTTAAGTTCATTTGTGATGAATGAATTTTTAAATAAATGGTTTGAGAGGATTGATACCACGGTGATGAACTGAGAAAAGAATGTTAAAGAAGTTATGTATAATATTTTTATTTTTTATAAACATAATATTTTTATATTTAATAAGATGGTGTCTTGTAATTCTCATGTTCTTGATTATTAAATTTAGGCATGAGGAAGTGGAAGCGATTCTTGGACACTGCAAAGTGTATTATCCGATCATCTTCTTTCTCTGTGTTTTTTTTTTTTTTGAATGGTTTTGTATGTTTCTTTTAGGCCATGTTTGATACATCAGAATTGTGAAAAGAAAAATGAAATTAGACATGAAATTCTTCAGTTGGCTTGTTTGGTATACTAGAATTGCTTTTTTAATCCAATTCCATTGTAGAGACCATAGAATTCACCAACTCAATATGAAATTGGCTTATATGTCATTAAAAAAATAAAATAAAGGGTATTTTGATTTTTTATATTTTAAATACATATACTTATTAAAATTATATCATGATTCTATCTTCATACCAAACACACTTTTAAAACTCAATTCAATTCCGATTCTAATTCTGATTCTAATTCCAATTTCAATTCTAATTCTATCAAAAACTCTTCTATCATATCAAATAAGGCCTTAGTTTTGCGATCGTCTTCTTACTACACACACATACACTTTTCATTATCATGCATCTACTGGATAAAACAATTAAGCATGTACATTCCTTTTTGACAGCAATTAAGTATATACATTCCATTTCATTTTTAAGTCAAAAACTTATCTATGCATGAATCATGAAAAAGATAATCGATCATTGTGTGAATCGAAAGACACATAGCAGCTTTCAATTTTTAAAATCATAAATTATATAGCAATGAAAAAATACAGCAACTATTTTTTTAATTATATAGCAACTATTTTTTTTAACTTTATTTATAAATCACTTCCAATATATTCACAAAAATTAAGAAAATTCATAAACTTCATTAACTCTATCTAAAAATTTAATAAGTTTTTAATTTTATTTCTACTCAATGTATATATTTCAAAAATGAAACAGTCTATCATTTAATAAATTTTTCAGCATTTAATAGGAACAAAATAATAAAGATGAATATAATAATAATAATTGAAATACCTTTTTTTTACCAGATAATTGAATTGAAATTGAAATATATCAAAGTAGATATTCTTTCTCTACCCATAAATATTTTACATGCTTTGCAAAGGCGATCTCAAGACCTTGCGTTGTCAGCCAAACAAAAATGAAAAGGCCTCGTTCTGCACTTTATCTCAGGCAGGCATGCATGTGTACTTCCTCTCGTACTAAAATTGTAAAATGTAAGTGTTTGATGACTAACTTTTTAAAATTAAAGAATTTAGTTAAGTTAGTTATTTGTTTAAAAAAAGGTGTTGCTTTTCTTAAAATAACATATTTAATCATTTACATTTAAAAAAAATAATCATTTAGTCTTGACAGTTTTAATTCAGTTATCTCGGTTTTTAAATTTTAAATTGAGATAATTCTATCTTTATAGATTGTTTTAGTTGCAATTTGATATTTAAATTTTGAATCATTGTCATTTAGTTTTTATAATTTTAATTATTTAAAACATTAATTTTTGAGCTTCAACAAATAACTTTAATCTTTACAATTTTTTATAAAATGCAAGGACTAACATTTTAAATATATAAAATTATAATGATTAGATTACATCAAGTTAAAATTTAAAAATTATGTTATAACTAGATCAAAATTATAAGGAGTTAGGGTTTATAATAGATTGAATTACAACAAAATAAAAACTATAAAAATTAAATGATTCATTTTTCCTATTTAAAGCTACTCATATTGATGAAAACTCCTTTCAATAATAAGAATTTGAAAAATATTGTATAGATTATCCAAAAAAAGATACAGTAGATTAATGTCTTACATTTAGGATCAAACTCACCAACTAGTTTTTACATTCATTACAATAGAAAGTACTCCTTTCATTCAAAAATATAAAATATTTTTAACTAAATCTCACATTCAGTAAAGTAGTTATTTATTTTTAAACTAACTCCATCTTTACATATTTACTTTTATTAACCATCCCATAATAAATATAAAGTCATTATCAATAGGGACACTTTTGAAAAAAAAAGTAATAATTACCTCTCGAAAGGCTAAAAATATTTTATATTTTTTACTATTTAATTTTTTAAAAAATATTTTATATTTTTGAATTAAGGGAGTACCAATTATTATTAAAATAAAAGAGGCAACTTAAGAATGATTAAGCTATGACGGGGTAGAGATGGAGAGTTATTAACTTGTGATGATGAGTACACAGCATGATTATGTTGTGCTTTGAAATCGAGGCCGACGTGTCGTGAAAATCAGGACTTGTAAATGATTCTGCTTCATATACGACATTATATATTACAAAATATATAGTACATAAATATGTAGATATATTATAGAATGAGCATGAGGATTATATATATTATTCATCATGGTTCATCGACAATGTAACTGTTATAACTTTATAGATAAGTTGATGATGATGATTATGAAATAACGTGATGCTTAGAATCCTATTGGCAAAAAAAAAAAAAAAAAAAGCTCAGAATCCAAACACGATAACCTTTTCCAGAAAAGAAAAAGAAGGTTATATAAACTCTCTCACCCAACGCCAGTGGCGAGGTTGAACAAGAGACTTGCACTTCATTAAAAAAATAAAAAAAAGTAGTTTTCGCTTGCATGAAAAAAATTATTTAAAAGATGATATATATATATATATTTATTTATAAATGGAAGATATTTTTAATTAAATTTTATCCTCTAATAAAGAAGTTACCTACTTTTCAACTAATCCTATCTTTTTATATTTATTCTTATTAAACATCATCCAATAAATATAAAATCATTATTAATAGAGATATTTTTTTTAAAAAAATGTAATGATTATACCTTGAAATACTAAAAATATCTTACATTTTTAAACACCCAACTTTTTAAAAAATATCTTATATTTTTTAACAAAGAATATATATATATATATATACACACAAAGACATAGATCTGAGAGAAACAGCACTGAATCAGTAACACATTATCATAGCATGTTTTTGAAATTAAGAAACAACACGGCGGTAAAAATTAAATTCAATCACACATACACACACATATATTTTGCAAGAAATTCAATCATATTAATAAACTACGCCAAAAGGGGAATATGAATATCATTAAAATCTTGCTGCCGTTACATGGGAGGGTCATGTCAGAAGAAGATCCTTTGACCGGTGTTTGTGAAAGAATAGCAACTGTGCATCGTAACAAATATAAAAACGACAACTTTTCATTACCTTACCTATGAACGTGCTCCTTGTTTGTATTGGTGACATATTCCCTTCCTTTTTATATATATAAAAAAATTATATCATATAATTTAAAAAAATTAATTAATCATAATAATTATATTTAAAAATAAATTTTTTTGACTAAAATACCCTGAATTAATTAACATAAGTATGTATTAATTATTTTTTATTAATATAAATTATGAGGGACAATTTAAGAAATGTGTAATAAATATTTATTGAAATATATAATTTTATTTATATATAAAAATAAGTAAAAAGTGATAATTTCTTTTATAATTAGAAACGGAAGGAATATGTATGTGCCACTGTGACATTGCTGTTACACTACATATCATTATCATTAATTTTCTAAATTAAAGTTGAATACACACTTTAAAATTTATCTAATTCAATATTCCAAATTATGTAACTTACATTTTTTCAATTAAGTGTCTACTTAATATGTAACTTTTATATATATATATATATATATAGGTGCAAACTGATTAATTTCACATGTAGTCAGAATAGGATCAGTGGTGGATGTAAGACCCTGAGTTAATGGGAGCATAAATTATATAAAATGTAAAAATAATTAAAAAATAAAAATTTAATATATAAAATAAATATTTACATATCTTACAAGTTTTCTCAATGTGGCTTCATGTTTTGAAATTATTGAATGATCAACTCATTGTCAATATTATTAAACCATAGATTTTCTATTTGATTATACAACTAATTTTTCACAAACTTAGTAAAAAAAGCTCTTTTTATAGTTATTGTGGCAACAGGTAATATTATTGCTACCTTTAATCATTTTCTCACATTTAACCTCACATTCTCACGCCATTCACTTTGTCTCTCATCTCAGGCTCTGTTTTCTAGCAAAAAGTCTCTCCATCTTTCTATCTTTTGGTCTTCTTTTAGTTTTTGTATGTTTTAAAATTTAAAATTTTA